CACCTGTACTCGTTCACGCTGCAGGCGTCTCCATCCGCCTGCTGCACCGCAAGCTTAAAGCTGTCCGAGCGCTTGTCCGTCATCTACAAGAGAAGAGAGAGAGTCCACATGAGGCTCGTCAAAAGAAGAAGAGCGGATGAAGGTAAGAGAGAGAGAGAGAGAGAGAGAGAGAGAGAGAGAGAGAGAGAGAGAGCGAGAGTTCACATTAAGGTCGGTAAAACCTGACAGTGTAAACGAGCGTTGACGAGTCACGAAGCCTCGCCATCGCCACACAACTAATCGAGAATGGCGGATAGTTCATTTTCAGGATAATTCACCCCGTACACATATCCAACACGAAGTCAGTAGTGGTCACATCTGGCCAATGAAATAAGTATGAGCTAGAAGCTCACCATGGCCCACAACACCGGCGAGATTTCTCGCCAAAACTGGCCATTGATGACTAGCATCTTCTACCTTCTTCTAATGTCCCGGGATTTTCGCGAATCGCAGGAAACAGGCACGCGACTCAGTTTCGCGATACACAAGAGAACATCTAGCGACGTACACGTGCAAACCGCCTCAAGTGACCACTGAGTACTTGCAGCACGAAGCTAGTTGTGGCAGAGTAAGCTATGCGTTGCCGTCACTGCCGTATTCTGTTGCGCTACGTTACGGCTTAACGGTAATACGCTCGTGGTTTATAGTTATAGAGATGTCGTACGTCGTTAGAGCTACACGTTCTTGGCAGGTCCGTCACGCTCCGGTTTACCCTCCCACGCGCCCTTAACAACGTACGTAGCACGTGCCAGGGATAAGACCATACAGTTGTCTTTTTATTTCTCTCTCCTTCTCGCTCGCTCGCTCTCACCTGTGACCACACGTCTTGCAAACAATGTGGAAGATAGAGAGAGAGACACGGTCGAGCAGGTGTTGCAGTGAGTCACCTCTCAGGTAGGCAGGCACGCGCAGCACGTGGGGCAGATTATGCTGCACACGCCGCTACTGCTGCCACTGTCCTCCGAATTAGCAAAACCTAAAGACCCGTCTCTTCGTCGGCGCATGAATGCTTGAGTGTGATGCACGAACAGGTCTTCCTAATTCATGGCAAGACCGTCATCATGTCATTCAGGCTAGTGTCTGTCACTCCCACTCCCCCCATAGGCTATATCTACCTCTGAAAATTATCCCTCTGTTCTATCTCCCCCTGCTATTTGCCTTGTTTCTATTTATCTTTTTGCAAGCACTCTCTCGTTCTCTCTGTCTTTCTCTTTCTCTCTCCCCCTCTGCCATCTCTCTTTCTGCTACCCCTCCTTCTGCTACTAAGGCAGCGAACCTGATCACTTATCATTGTATAGGAAGAAACACGTGCTTGCTTCTCAGCGTGTGCGTACATGGCTGTATCACACAGCGGACAGGCGAATAGAGAGAGAAGGTAAGCACGCACGACGATGGCGTCATCGCCGTATTGCTGCGGTACGCTTTGGTGCCGCCTAATTACTTTATGGATCCAGATACTTCTCGCCCACCTGCCACGCGGCTCGCTCATCATCAGGTATACACGCACATCTCATGATCACACAGCCGGTATACACGTCTTAACTGCTGCTGCTGCTGCTATTACGCTGTCTGATGTTGTTACTGTTACTGCTACTGTTAGTATTACTGTAGTACAACTGTTAGTGTTACTGCTGCTGCTACTGTTACTGCTACTGACACGCTGATAATGCTGACACTGTTAATCACCCCGTACTGTGTTACGCGTGTTTGATGGAGCAGAATAGGTCATAAAGATATCGCCACCGGTTAGCACTGGGCGCCATGTAAACGTCGCGTTATACTGAAGGGAGAGAAAAATCGATTTGCAATAAAACATAGAATAGCCTACTTGCGCAGTATATGAAAAGTAAAACCGCTAGGTCAAAAGGTCTCATTCGCTGTTTAACGCGTTTGATCATAAAATAGCAGCGTGCGAAGTTTATAGCGCCTAAAAAAATAAGCCTCCATATGTTACATGGGGATGTGATAATAAGAGGTGACAGCGGAGGTCGGTTGCCGTGCGACGGTAACCCATAGAAACAGCGCAGAGATTCTCGCTGTCTCGCAGCATCCCCCTCGCTCCCCCCGCGCGTGTGCCGACGCCGGCAGACGAAACTGGACTCATGCAGACGCGAAAGCTGGCACGCAATTTAGTTTAAAGCAAGATAGCGATCTGGTGGTCCATTCACTCGCTGGCTGCCGGCGGGAACTCAAACGCCGTGATTGACGCGCCAGCATGTTCATCCTGCTCCCGTTTATAGTAGTTCAACACACGTGCGACGTGTTGCCTTCTCTTCCTCCCCCTCTCGCTGTCTATCTCTCCTATCCCCCTCTCGCTGTTTCTTTCTCGCGCTCTCTCTGTCTCTTTCCAAAACATTGTGTGTCTCTCCGTCCATCCGTCTGTCTGCCTGCCTGACTTGTCAGCCTGCTCGCTCGTCGGACTTGTATGCCTGCCTGTCTGACTCGTCCATCCGTCCGACCGCCTGATGTCTGTCTGTCTGTTTCTATCTAGCATTCACGTCAGATATCCCTTTCTCATTCCTTCTATGTCTGTCTCTCTCTCCATCCTCTTTCTCGACATGTGTCTACTGTATATGCCTCTACCTGCCTCTCTTGTTCAGCACGCGCTCACTCCCTTCCTCTTTAACCGCGCTAACTGCCCCTCTAGATTTCTGTGTGTGTGTGTGGGGGGGGGGGTGCGTGCGTGTGTGTGTGTCTCTACCTAACCGTCTCTTCATTGCTCTTATCCCGATCTCTCTCTCTCTCTCTCTCTCTGCGTTTCTCTCTTACACGCACACACCGAGTGTTGCCCGCCTTGCTCGCATAAAAGGTGCGACGGAAGGCATTCCTCGCCGCGCGCTGATCGTTATCTCGTGTTTTAGCATGCGCCCACGTGCTGACAGCCACCCGCCCGTCGGCCGCGGACGGTCGCAGAGGTGTTTCTAAACGCCGAAACGGCACGCCCCACGCCGGGCGCTAATTGGTAAGGGATTTGTGAAGCCTGTGTGGGAGGAGGATGAGGATAAGGATAAGAGATGCTGAGGCTGCCGTGCGGCATGGCAACACAGCTGGTACGGGGGCGCGACCGTGTGATGTGCGAATATCTCGGGCGGCGGGAGCAGAGAAAGGCCAGCTTTTAAAGTGAAGACAGCGTGAGGCGGAAACGCTCTGCTAAATTCAGCCGGCGATGCAATGCGGTGGTCTGCGCCGCTTGAGGTTTTACACAGGTTTAACGCTGTTCGGAGATAGGACCACCTAGCTCGACCAACGGCTCCGTATGTGCACAGCACGTGTACATGCGTGCGCTGCAAGCGTAATACACAGAGGCTGCAGACAGAACCGTAATACACTCTCTACCCATGCAGCGATCACACACACACTCTATCACTCTCTCGCTCGCGGCGACTACACGATAAACACAGGTGTGCATTTCCACCGACATGATACCACTATCATCGATATACCGTGATTACACCTGGCGAAGCGGAGGTGTAAAAAATTCATTACCAATCGCTTTCCATCGGCCGATTTCCTTCCGCTGCTGCGCCGAAAGGTAAGACTTGCCATAGGACAGTATCGCAACGTAGCAGCCACCATGCTCCTCGGCATCTGATGAAAACAGTACCAACAGGCCCGCTGCGAGTGATCTTATGGCACGTATGGCTTCTCCAAAATCTGGCCTCGGGCCGCTGCCATACTGCTTGACAGTGCGACTACCATTGGTGCGGCGTGGACGCCAACTACGTATATAGACCGCCACACGTCGGCGACGTACTAGTGCTCAACGCAGAAAATCACAACTCTCTCTCTCTCCTACTAGCTCAGAATATCGCCTAGGGCGTCTTTCTAAGCTGACAGACTAAAGCCACTGAATATATAAAGCTGATATGAAACAGTAGGCCGCACCTATGAGAACACAATGCACTCACGGCACGACACTTAGCTGCACCAGTGACACTAGAATGCACATATGACACTACGCCGCACCAACACACTAAGATGCACCCACGTCACTAGGCTGCACGTACGGCACTAGGATGCAGCGCTACGCTGCACCTACGGCAGTATAGTTTGTAACCAGCAGCGAACAGGAACAGGCGTGTAACTGTGGTCGGCGCGCGAGCGAGAGAGAGAGTTGGTCACGTCGCCGCACAGGTACGCGCTTGGAGCCACGACTGCCGCAGCTGCTACCGCCGCGGGAGAGTACGGTGAACCCATCACGCCTCGCCAAGGACGGGGGCTTCAATCGATGACGCTGTGTCACACGATGTACACCCGCCGCCACTCCCCTTGTCCGCTACCTTCATGCATACATGCGCGCATGCACAGCGACAGAACTTGCATGCAGGTACATAGGCGCGTGCGCGCACACCTGAGCGCCCCATCGTCTATTGATTGCATCGGACAACTGTTTTCGGATAAGGAGCAGTTGCTACGCGTCTCCAAGGCAACCCGTCAACAAGCGATGGATGCTGAGCGATGGGAGGGAGCTGGAGTCACAGGTCCCTCCACCCGGATTCAATACGCTACTATTGTTCTACGCGACCTGGCAGACATGACCCTAACAACTACATGCGCAACGCGCTTCATCGTCGAGTAGAACCAGGGCAACATCTAGCGATTGATATCTAGATTTCTCATGGGTACGGCAGAAAAGCAAACTAATTAGATGATTAGTATGCGGTAGTTTAGCAGCACTTCAGTACCCGCGCTTCAGAAGTTCTCGCCATATCGAGTATTAACTAGATTATTTAATGTAGACATACTCCCACACCGCTGCCATTAACATGCTGCTTCTCAATCGCAAACAAATAGATGCGTCGGCAGCTATAGCAAACGCTTAGTGACGCATGCGATGAAGAGAAAGCATCCTGATTTATCCGCGACGAGAGTGCGGGCGACACGTAAATTCAATTAGCTTAATTAAACAACGCAGAAATTGCTAGTTTAATCGTCGACGATGTCAATATCGCCCCGCATTGTATGTGAACATTCGACTGACCTTGAATCGCGTTAAAATTTCGTTACTCCTGTCTAACAATTCACTTCCTTTTTGCTTATCAGCCACCGATCCTCCCCTTCTTCCTCGTCTTTATGGAGCGCAGTTTTAATTTCCATCTAAACATCGGTGGAAAACACTGTGAAAAGGCCGCCCATGTGTTATAGGGTGCGTGTGAGCCTGTGCCTTCACGTTCGCGCGCGCGCGCGCGTGTGTGTGTGTGTGCAGGTGCGTGCGTGCGGGCATGCGCGCTGCACGCGGATGAGCCCCATCAGAAAAAAACACACTGCCACTTGGAAAAAAAGAAACCGAGAAAAATCCGTTACTTCCAGAGCGCGGCGCAGAGAACCGACTAAAGAAAAAACGAGAAGGCGTTTGCCTGGGTGGAGACATGTAATGGTTAATCATGCATGGATGCTGAAATACTAATGATCATTGAATGTATCACGCCGAATGAAGCATGAGTCAGCCGTAAATTACGAATACAGTACATTAATTTTAATATTCTAATGCTATCCCTAGTTACAGTACATATAATATGTCAATCGATGTATAGGCACTTTATCATTTTTCTCAATACACTGTTTATACCGAACCACTCGCACCACGCATTATACGACATATAAAATGCCTTGTATTTACTCACCCAGATATTTCTTAAAAAATGATTCATGTCTGCTTGCAGCTCCTACACCCATAGTTTGGCTCACAAATCGGTCACAGCATTCTCACCACTCAGATGATGATCATAATGATCTCATACGAACTTCCAACGATCTTCGAGCCGTGTTCAATCCGAATCGGGCCGCAGACATGCGGCAATCACAATATCGTCTGTGAGAGACACCGACGCGAACGCTCGCTGACAGTACACGGCGCGCGCGCTCTCCCCTTCTCTGCCGCAGCTGCTGTTGCTGCGTCCGATACCAAGGGCGCCGGTCGCTACGGTCAAGTGTGTGCCACGCCAGCGGCTGGCTTGCGCTGCTCACGGGGTATGGACGATGGCGAGAGAGGCTGAAACACGTCGTGGCGCGCCACCGGCACACAAACAATGCGGCTGCAGGCGGGGCAGGGTTTAACGGAGAGAGTCCCAGGCTAGAAGCTTTAACGACTCGGCGACGATGTTTAAGTTGTTCTAGAAGCACGCGGTCTCAGATGTGCTCTAGGCTGACTCTCGCTCTTTCTCTCTTTCCCGAACACTCGCGTTCTGTCTTTTACCTCGCGGGTGCACGCAAACTAGCTGCTCCGTGTCCTCTCGCGTGCGCTGCCCCGCTTACTGTGGGCGAACGTGAGTCCACTCAGTCCTATCTGAGCGCGCGCAACCCGTTATGGAGCTATTGTAGTCAGGACTGCTTGGCACGCGTTAGAAGTGCCCGCGCCTTGTCTCAGCTATTGCGCGGGGCATAGTGCCACGCATAGTTTCACGCAAAGCAAGCCGTGCGGCGGCTCGCGACAATAAAGCAGGCGTCGCGAGAGAATCAACACGCGAGAGCGAAACGGTTGGCGCTCTTGTTCAGCCGCTAATGGCGACCAAACAGAAATGTTGCGATCAGCGAGTAAACGCCGGAGCCACGAATTCTCCCGAGCCCGGCGCACTGGGTGCTCTGCCACCTTCTCCCGTCTTAGTTTGGCACACTCGGGCGAGTAACTCTTTCGTGTCTGCGTGGGAAACACGTGTCTCTACGACGCAAAACCAACGTCTCACACTGTATAGTTAGTCTGCTCAGTTGCAGTAGTCGGCATGCTGTTGCGACACCACCGTGTGTGAGTGCGTGTGTGCGCAGTCTTCCACGTCTAGCGCTTGGTTGGCAGCCAACTATGCGACTGGTCACAGCTGCTGTCCCCACCGACCCACGCACCGGGCCTCACTCTGCTGCCTACCAACGCAGCGCGTCACGTGAGACGTGTCACACAACGCCATTGGCCGGGAGAACAATGGCGACCCGATCAGCCATCGGCGATGACTATGACTATAAATATACGTATGATGTAGTTACCGCTTGCGTGCCTTACGGTGAGCTGAACATAGCGTGAAACCGCATACGCGCATAAATCACTGTACCTTATGTAACACACACCGTAACAGGTGTGTGAAAATTTACCAGACACTACGGACGAGACGGAAACGCACTAAAAGTGGGAAGCGGAATGGATATGGTCATATTTATATTCAGAGGTCGCTCGCTCGTGCAAGGTATACACCCGACGATGGCTGAGATACGGTGTGTGTGTGTGTGGGGGGGGGGGGGGGTAATTTAAATAATTCAGCATCCTCGAGGTGTACGGAGCAAGAAAAAGCAGCACACGTAATATTAATCACGCTCAGCAGCACAGGATCCGGCTACAACGAAAGACTTTTGATGGTCATCGGCATTCACGTGACAATAAGCACACAGATATCAGCAGCAGAATTAACTCATTGACGTGGATTTTAGAATCTGCTGTAATCATTTACTCAGTCTTTATATATATATATATATATATATATCTTTCGCGTGTGCGCGCACTCTCTGCCTTTCTGTCGTGTTCTCTCTCTACATCGCTCACTCGTTCACTCACTCTTTCTATTTTTCTCTCTCTCACTCGCACTGACATACACATTCTTCCCCTCACTCACCACTGAACGCGCGTCTGAAATCGACAAGAAAGCAATTCATATAGCGAAAAATTCCCTTCTCACTCGCGCGCGCGAAGAAAGCGTCTTAACCGGCACTTAGATGAGGTGGAGAGATCTTAACAAGTCAGCAATGGTTAGCGGATGAAGCTAACAAGCCAGCTAAAGCACTCACAAAGCGCGCGGACTCAATTCGGAGCCACGCCGACCCGCGGACACAATCTCGCCAATTGAAGCGACGACGTGTGCGTACGTACAACCCTGGACACGGCAAACCTCGTTAGCCACGGCGACCCTGGCCAAGGCATTCCCCCACCCTCGTTTTCTCGTCGGAATTGGCCACCGCCATGGGTGGAACTGCGAGAGACCGGTGTAGCAGCGATAACAGCGCATTTTAAAGACGACTGTTTGCAGCCGCTGCACGGTGTATGCACACATCGGGGCGGTGCGGACAAGGGGAGACAAGCGAGCGCTGAATGGAGAACAGTGGGGGACCCCCGGGAGGTGGGGACAGAGACGAGGAAGGCGCTCACCGGGAGGATGTTGGCAACAGATAGGGTGCAGAATGCGTCTGTAATTACTTCTATCTCTCTCACCTGCTGTGCTCGGCCGGGCACGTGCCCTGCACACGCCACGCTAGCTAAGCCGCCATGCATGCAAGCTCTCTATCATAGTCAGTTTTGCTAAGTCATGTTCCCTAACACGAGTTAGGTGCCCCATGTTAGCTAGGCCATGCTCACCAGCACAGGTTAGCTCCCCCACGTTAGCTAAGTCATACTCACTAACACGCGTTAGCTACCGCAGGTTAGCTAAACCATGCTTACTATGACAGGTTAACTACACCAAGTTAACTAGGTCACGATCGCCAGCATACGTTAGCTATCTTGACCAGAACTGCCTAACCGAGTCTTACTAACTAGCCATGTTCACTTATTCAAGCTAGCCAACTCAGTTGCGCTAACCAAATATTATCATCAACACAGGCTAGCTATACATACTAACTAACAATGCTCATCGTTTCTCTCTACCACCACACCTTTACTCATCAATATTCCGCTATCCGGGGTAGCACGACCACGGGTTGTGAAGTGGGCGCTGTGGCAGACACTGACAGACATAACTGACCGTCTAAACGGAAATTCGAGTGAAACCTCGACCGTGCAGAATCTGGCTTAGTGGCGTCATGCAACCGCCTGAAAACAAACATCAGACAACACAAAAAGTGATAGCCACCAGCGCCGACATTGGCGCCACCTCGCAGCGTGCGTGGGTTGGTGTGACATTCACCGTACTACAGGACGTCTCCGCCTCCCCCCGTCCGCTCTGCCGCTCACAACAACAATACTGTCGCTAGCCTAGTCCGTACGTACGCGCCGACACAGAGCTGCCACTTGTCCTCGCCTTGTTGGCGGAGGCGGAGTCCGTCAACACGGCCGCACGGCGGCGCGACCGGCCACAACATAGCCGCCACAATGATGCGCACTGTCTTCCCGCGAGAAAACATGCGACCGCTGGCTAACACAACAGCAGACGACTGTCACGACAGACCACCGCCGCCGATAGGTGCCGTCCACCTCCGGCGAAGCTACCAAATGTCAACAGCCATTATTGTGTTGGTAAAACGCAATTAATATCTTATATCGTTCCTTAAATAGATTGACGCAAACTGTGATCATCAGAATATGACGAAGAGACTACGTAGTTGGTACCAACATTTACGTATACCTTGGTAGGCGCACTCCTTTTCTCGCTATGGACTCTCGGTGCATTTCTGGTTTCTCTATTCCGCGCAGAAACACGTCAAATGAGGGTAGTTGTTTCACAGATTGCTTGTTGCCTCCCCTTCTCTCACTTTCGCTGTCACTCTCTTCTTGCCCTCTCTCTCTTTCTCTCACTATCGGTCTGTCTGTCTGTCTCTCTCGCTCTCTCTCTCTCTCTCTCTCTCTCTCTCTCTCTGTGTGTGTTTCTCTCGGTGTGTGTGTCTCTCTCGTGTGCGGCCTCTTGCTGAGGGGATGCAAATAGAGCATGCGCGCACGTGCCAGAGGTAAACACGCCGAAAAAACAGACGACGATTTTACGAATCAGTCGAGCGATCGCCATGACAACGAGCAGCGCGGCTGTTGCAACCCCCACAGCCAGCTGCCATGGGACAAGATCAAAGCAGCCAACTCACGCTAGCCGCGAATGGGGCCCCGCTACAATGTAAATATTGTCGGCCCGGTGTGCGCTCTCTGCCGAGTGACCAATTACTAAATGAAGACAACGTCAATATTGTCCCGCGTGTTTGTACTTCAGGTCTTTTGGAGAAGGAAATTAAATTACAGATGTTTTGTCGCGAAAGTGTTTGCGAGATATAGGGAAAATTTGTAACCGGTAACAAAGGCGGGCGCACCGGAGCGGCGTAGTCGATGAGGTTTAATTAATTTCACGTCGCGTGAAGTTTTTGACCGCCGAGTGAAGTACAGGTAGGAGTTATATCAAGAACTAATAATACTTGGTTATATTTATATTCGTGGTCCCATGGCTTGGCGAGGAGAGAGAGAGAGAGCGCGCGAGAGAGAGAGAAAGAGCGAGAGAGCGAGAGCGAGAGAGAGAGCGAGAGAGAGAGAGAGAGAGAGAGAGAGAGAGAGAGAGAGAGAGAGAGAGAGAGAGAGAGAGAGTGGGCGTCCAGCTGAGATGAATTATGCACACGAGCACCGGCGAGAATCGAACAATGCATGGGGAAACGCAAGTAAAACATTATAATTTCTCAAATATTTATACCCAGTATATCATGTAAAGGTGGGTAATTGCAGGTGAAATCTATTGAAAATTCTCATCTGACAAAAACGTCAGTAAATCCTGTTAAAAGTTGAAAATTGACTGCATAATTATTATCCATTGCCAGCAGCAATCGTAGTAAAGGTATCAGTTGCTAGGCAGCACAAACACTAGAAAAAGGTTGAACAATTCCTCTTTAAAGTTTAACAACTCCATTTCACTGGGTAATTATAATGCATTGACTACAGCAGCAGCAGCAGCAGCAGCAGCAGCAGCGGCGGCGGCGGCAGCAGCAGCAGCAGCAGCAGCAGCGGCGGCGGCGGCAGCAGCAGCGGCAGCTGTAGCAGCAGCAGCAGCAGCGGCAGTAGAAGCAGCAGCAGTTGCTACGCACCAACGCTCGATTTCAGCAGACTCCAGCACGAAGCAACTTTTACAACTTCTCTCCTCTCTCGTTCATCACCACCACGACAGCACGCATACTATACGGCCAAAAACTCGTGCTCATTACCAGCACGTGGGCGCAGATAATCTATATATGAATCGAGTTTATCCGATGTTCCTGGTAGAACCTCATGCGTGTTTGCGTGTAATATACCGTCGCCACGGCGGCACAGCAGCGAACAGCGCGCGCCTAGCGACTCGATTTTATACGAAATGTTTAAAACTTCTTCTTTGTGGAGTAAAAATTTTGCGCAAATTTATGGACGCGTCTCCGTGGTGACGTCAGACGGCAGCTGGCGGCGGCGGCCGCAGTGGCGGTGGCGACGACAATGATATGCTTTATGCAGCAATGATCCGCAGTGTTAGCCTTGTACGGCTAGTTGAAGAGTGTAAACGGGATGCTGGCGCACAGAGAGGAAAACCATGAGACATCGGAGGGCATGCATCGTGGAGCCGGCGAGTACCCGGATGATGATGATGATGATGATGATGATGATGGTGATGATGATGATGATGATGATGATGATGATGGTGATGATGATGGTGATGATGGTGATGATGATGATGATGATGATGATGATGATGGTGATGATGATGATGATGATGATGATGATGATGATGATGATGATGATGATGGTGGTGGTGATAAGGATGATGACGAAAAAGTGAAGAGGAGGAGGAGCTGGAGGAAGATGTTGGTGGGTAGAATGTTTGAGATTAATGTGCAGGCCTCCCACACTCCGCTTCAGACACAGTCACGATGTTTCTATGGCAAAAGTGCTGATGCATGGATATAACCGCGTGAGAATAACAAGGTCGGGTAATAGAAGTCCTTCCGTGAAACATGCCTTATCATGATTATTATAGGAGAGAAACCGAAAGATATTAGAGGAAAAAAATACATAGATATAGGTAAGGGGTATAGAAAGAGAAAAGAGAGAGAGAGAGAGAGAGAGAGAGAGAGAGAGAGAGAGAGAGAGGCAGAAGGGGAGGAGCGGAGAGGAGAGAAACGGA